TTTTGTGGCAAATCTAGTGTGGCCTCATCACACCTGCTATTCACCCCAACCCCCTCACTTTACATCGGCTAATACGACTCAGGCCTCCAATCTGGAACCCCTCATGGTCCCGTAGGTCCTTTCCTTATCTTTCTGGTTGACTGATTTCACTCGGTTCCAGTCCCAGTGTGTGTTTCACTCCAGGTGCTATTTCTCAATGCCCTAGAAGCACGTACACTGCCGTCTCACCAAGCAGAACGCCTATGCTCTGATTCCCATGGCTTCAGATATAGGGCATTACCTTCACGGGTCGTCTCCTTGACTAAACCCGTGTAACCTGAGCAAACTGTAGACACCTATCTCTGGTCGCATACTGATTCTAGTACATTTTGACCATAAAGTAGAATTTCTGCGACGGCTTGCTTATCCGTCAGCCTTGCTCCCTGACTGCAAGGCCCCCAAAGTTGTACTGGTTTATTCAAAACGGACATCACTCATGGACAACACCTTCGCTTGATTGCCGAAACATCCTGCCCCACACTTTCCTTATCGCGATCTCTTTTCCTCCGATTAGAGATACATCCCCTAATCAGGAGTCTCCTTTTTGCTGATCTTGCTCAAAAATCGTTTTCCCCGAGTTTGCTTAAGCACTATGCAAAGTTATCGCTAACTCTACCTTCTCCCAATCTCACAAAGAATGTCAATGGCCTCTATTATCTTCTATTTCCTTGTGATTTCACTGTATGAGGCCCTTCTTTCTGTTACCTTCCAATTGATCGCATGTCCAGTCTGTGCGATGTGTTCCGCTAATTCTGATCTTTCGGTAACCATTTTCCTGCAGAGCCTTTGATGTTCCTTGATTCGTATGCTAATTTTTCCACCCTGTTTCGCCAATATATTTCTGTTTGCACGCGCCGCATGATATACAATAAACTCATAAATAATCAATTTTGTGTTTCCTTTCATGTCGCTCCAGAACTCTACATTAGTCAAGCTAGGCTTCCGATATGCATGCTCCTCATTATTCGTATCTTTCGCCTGTAATTGTGATGGGACCAGAAATTGAGTATTATCCCAACATAAAACTTCTTTCGTAACAATTTCTTTTTGAGGCAACAGAAAGAAGAGTCCAATACGGTGACAACACAAGGAAGCGGAGGATGAACAGGAGATTGGAGGAAGGTTGAGTTAGCGATAACTCTGCGTACTGCCTAAGCATGCTCGAGGAAAACAAGAATAGAGCAAGACCAGCAAAAAGGAGACGCCTACAATAGGATCTATCGCTAACGGAGGATGCTGGGAATTATGATAACTACCATAGTACAGGACTTCGGACTAGGTGCGTTCTACCAAGTCTCTTGGACAACAAGACAAAGTCGCGACAACGAGGTCAACTCACTTCTAGAAGCGATAGTAGTTATCATAATTTCCAGCATCAGGTAGTTTACTTGGTATATTTTCAAACGTTTCCCCCGCAACATCAGTGAGTGATGCCATTCTCCGCACCAAGCTTCGAACTCGTCAGAGGCAAGTGAAACCATGATAGTAATTAGTATCTGTATTGCATCTTTTATTAATCAGGAGCAAGAATTAAGACCAATCAGAATTGCGATTAAGAACGATTAATGACGATGGCTGATAGACAATTATTTTCGTATATTGGTAAATAAGATGGGGAGAAACACATTTGGGGGCAGATAATAGTCCGATTACTCTACAAGGGTCCTTATACTGCAACATTTTATTTCTTGAGGAAGCTATATGAATTACTGAGGTGGTACTTACCTACTATTTTTAACGACAAAATAACTCTGCTAGAGAATATCCTCAACCTCTCCAGATCGAACTGTTACAAGATTATTTTCATGCAGAAGCGCCTGTGACAGACATGTGGGCCCATGCATAAAGGTAACCTGAGCACTTAGCCTGCGATGGATCGTGGGCCCAAGTCGAAATACACTGAACACTGCTTGCACAGGACATGAGATGGATTGATCAAATGTCAAGCACCTAGCCGTATATTGGTACTACCAGTGAGCTGAATGAGCGAAGTAATATGAATAAACAAAACAACCAACACCCCGAACGATTTATTGCTGTTGGATATAATTAGGTCGGGGGACAAGTACGAAAACCGATGCAATCCAATTCTTGACAACCATTTGGGCTTAGCATAGGATATTCAACCAATTAATGATGCTTCATCAAGTGGACCAAGCTGGAATATATGTGGGTTTTCAGACAGCCATCCCTTCAGTCTTGATGCTTTGATGAATTATCGCTAAGCATGGTGACCTGGTCTGACAATGCCCGTGACATGGCATACGATAATTCAGCAGAGATTGATAGGAGTCGCAGGGGTGTGCGCCAAGGGCATATTTTCATAAATAGACTGTCACAAACGAAGGGTACCGAAATAGGGAGTATTGTCTGTGTATCGACCCACAAGTAGACTGTCCGGGAACCGATCGAGTACAGGCGAGACTCAGGCAAGGCTAGAACTGTAGTCAGACGAGAAAAATGGAACACACGAGGCTGTTCGCCCGGTACTATTCGGATAATGGTGGATTGTTAGGACCGGCAAAGATCGCGGGAGTTTTTTCGCTTTTTAGGACGCGCCTCACTTCTGCCGGATACCAGTCAGGCCCGGAAATGCGGGCATGACGAATGAGACATAAGGTCCCCGAAGCTGAGCATGCATCCATGCGAAGTGATAACAGCATGGCAGGAGTGGCACGTGAACGCCTCGAATAGTTAATGGATCCAAGTACACCATCGCGTGGCATGCGGTAATACCCCTATTTAGACAAAAGTAGAATGAAAAGAAGCCAACCGGGCGCCAAGATGGCACACGGCCTGGGACCAATATTAATCCGAGACGAGCTGAATTGAGCCGTCACCACGATTGAACACACGCTGGTATCACGGTAGTCTATGAATCAAAGAAGAGAAGGCACAACCAGACGAGAACCGGAAGTGCAGAACCCAGAACAATTTATTCGTTCTGACGTAAAAATAAGCATTGCAACATGTCACGTTTACTATATCATAATTATCGACGGGTAACGAGGGTACATTATTACAGAGTAAGGCAGACATTGCAAACAAGAGGCCTCACCACAATGCTATCAGGACCTACGACTAAAAACGACAGAGCCCGGTAGAAAACAGTTAAAATGGTTAATAGACTAGCGAGGGAACGGAGCGGATGTTGGGAATGTCGTGACAGCCACATGGTTCTCCAAAAATTGATGTAGGATGCGTGCTGATACCCAACGATCGATAAGGTATCTGCGGCGGGAAAACGGGTGGATAGCAAGCGAACTCAGAGGATGCCCTGACTAAAGGTAGACAAGACGGCTAGTAAAATTGATCAAGCAGGTCCCGAAGAGCGGATCCGCCACCAGCCAGCAAGTACGCTATTACTGGAAAAAATTAGTCGTTGGATTACAGCGTCGAAAATACCAATCGTAAGGGGGCCCCTCAACCACTATACGCGCCAAGCAACGATTAGGTAGAACCCAAATGAAGAGCCAACAGTTAGCCCTGACAGTAATTAATAAGCAATAGTAATGCAATACCTAAGGCACCAGTTGAAAATTACAAGTCGAGAGAAGCCTCACCGCATCGGAGTAATGGTTAGTACCTAGAAAACAAAACAAGGCTAATTGCCCCCTTCCAAACAAAATTGTACCCAAATAAGCAATAAAGAAGAAAGACATTTATGTACATTCATTTAAAATAGTGACCGAGAAAATATTCTAAAAACTATTATACACAAGGCAACAATATACAAGGAGATGAGGCATCAAAACAACGTAACTTCAAATACGGACCAGGACTGTTTGTGATGGCCAGGACTGTGTTGGACCCAAGCCCGAGGTCACTGGTAACCTGAAAAGAACAAATTGGACGTAGGCGTCATGGACGTGGGTACAAAGAGCATTGAAACAGACGGACAGGTAAGATGATTCCAAGCAATGTTACTGAGACAAGTTGAATAAAGACGGTGGTTGCGGACATTAGAGGCCGACCCCCAGCCTTATTCACAAATGCTTGAGCCGAAATCACATACATCTAACAGTTGTGTAATCTGATGTATCACAACTGTAGATTAGACTTGTGCCCAATTTTATTAAATTTTTGTATACCCATATTAAATCCGTTAATTTCTGAGAGAAGGAATTTTAGTAACAAATTTATTTATTCAATGTAAAGGACACGTTTATGCTTGAAAACGAAAAATTTTGGTACTGAAGAGTCTACACAAAAACTGTATGCAAGAACAAAAATTTAATCAAGATTAATTTCGACTTTAGGCGTAAAATTCTGGGAACGTGCAATGGCCGAGATAATACGTCATACCAAATGCAAAGCTGGCGTGTATTATTTAGCAATGATTTTGCGGATAGAAAATTCGCCATATTGGCAGGCCTGCTGAGCATTGTCCAAATCGAGAAAATGATTTATTAGGAAGATTTATTGGGCATCGTCCTTTAGCGCCGGACGGGCATATGGATGTGAGCGACCACGACCCCGGCCGCGGCCACGGGCATCACTGCCGCCCATCTTGCCCCAAGTCTCGCTTTGTCCTGGGTTAAAAATGTTGAGAGATTGGTTAAAAGTAGCTAGTTAACTTTAAAATATTTTATTTCAAAGCGAAGATTTAATCTTGTGCTAACGGGCGGGCTACCGAAATGATCAACTTATGGCTTACCATAACCAGTCCCAAAATCTTCATATCCTGCATTTTCATATTCACCTTCGAACTTTATCTGAGGGTATGGATACGCATCGACGCCGTTGCCATAATCACCGGTAGTAGCAGATTGACTCGATGCCGTTCCGTTTGAGGCCACCTGTCCACCACGCGAGACCCAACCAATCCCCCTCCCGCGGAGCCCTCTACCCCTGGATCCTGGCGGAGTTCCATTTGGGGGAGGTGGAAAAGATGTAGGTGCAGGAGGAAAGCCGGGTCCAGGAGGGAAGCCCCTACCTCTGGGATGCCTACCCCTCATTGGGCCACCCCCACGAGGGACAGGAGAGGCTTGATTGCCCCAAGGGGGAGGAGGAATCTCACCACTCTCCTATAGATGTTATAGATAAAATGATGGTCTTACTGGAAGCATAACTTTTCGCACCTCAGAAAGCGCATGGGACAGCCTGTAATACGATTCAACGGGTGTAGCCAGGCTGTCAATCTGAAGATGCAATCTTTGCTTTAAATGCTGATACTTGGGGTCACCATTAGAAAGTAA